GCATTTCCATTCAAATGGAAATCGAAAAGTACACCGTACAGTGTTATCTATAACACCATCTAACACCAGAACACTATACTACTACACTATAACACAATAACACTACAGGTGTCATTCTGCACATAAAGATTTTAAGTTTTTGAACACAAATTATAATGCATTGGCTGTATGTATCTGTTGCTTCCTGTAGATAATAGTCACACTGCTGAAAGGAATTTAACTTATTTAAGTTAAATTTAAGTTATTAGGGAATCCACGTTTTCACCAAGTCACTGTCCTATACAGAATATCTGAGAAAAATTTATATTTGTAATATGTGCAAATTAAAAATGAGATATTAGGCTGCATTGAATTAAAATTGAAAATTTAATAGCCAAAATGAATCGTCATGTGTCCTCATGAGGTCTTATTCTGTATAAAGGCTTAGCTACTGTGATCTGTTGAGAACATTCTGTGGTGTGCTGCTGGTTAAATGGGATGTTTCTTTCAATAAACACTAGTAGATTTTACCAGCATAATCATCACAGCTCCCGAAAAATGTTGGCCTAAATCTGATCATCTGGTGGCCATTGTACTGTTACATAATAAGAAACATCAGACTGTGCATGGACAGGAGCAGGGCCCACCAAACAGTGTGTGTCTGCGTGTGTGTACGTGTGTGTACGTGTGTGTACGTGTGTGTACGTGTGTGTACGTGTGTGTACGTGTGTGTACGTGTGTGTGTCTGCATGAGTGTGCGTGTGTGTGTCTGCATGTGTGTGCGTGTGTGTGTCTGCATGTGTGTGCGTGTGTGTGTCTGCATGTGTCTGCATGTGTGTGCGTGTGTGTGTGTGCGTGTGTGTGTCTGCATGTGTGTGCGTGTGTGGGGAGTGTTTGCTGGTGTTGCGCAGCTAACTGGAGCTAATGAGGCATAGACACATGAAGCTCGGCCCTCCACACTGGACACTATTGACCACATCTACAAGCCTGATGGAGACTGCAGCCCAAGGACACTCAGCAGCACATCCACATGCACCTCACAGGGTCTGCTGGGGCTGGACATGTTCCTCACCTCACAGGGACACGTCCCTTCCCTGTTTTAACATGGTAGAAAGCTCAAAAAAAGTTTATTTTGCATAATATGCCCTCTTTACACCATTGTCTGGCCCCAACTCATGTCTAACTCTCACAAGACTGATAGGTTGTGAGTTAGACTCCTGATATGAGTGTGTGTGTCCTCCCTGTGTTACTGTGGCAGAGGGGTTATCCTCTCTCCTGGTTGTGGGTTAGACTCCAGACTCCGCGCAGGGTTTGTGGGAGCAGTGTGTGCTACCTTGGCATAGCAGCTGGTCCACATTGATTTGAGCTTGGGTTTCCTTGGTAACAGAAGCAGAGGCGCCCCGGAGTCAGGAGACAGACGCTGATCCATTTACAAGACCCAGGGGCCACACAACAGCACTGTCACTCTAGGAAATGCACAATAACAGCCACTAGAGGTCACTGTGCATATAAATCAGGAGCTAGAATGACAGTATATATTTGACAGTATGTCAAATATTTCATGAACAAATGTGAACCAAATCTCAGTAATGTATAGATAAAAGTTCAAACATTATGAGACATTCTGGGCCAACTATGACCTGTAAATAGTGTTACTACATCAAAGTATACTGTCCAACCAGAGTATCAGCTGAACCGATATTTGATCCGACACAAATTTTTTGTATCCACGTCGATATTTTATACCAGTATAGAATCTCTAAAAGTACAGCCCAATTCCAGCTTTTCTTTTTCTATTATTGATGTGCACAAAATTAACAAATAACTGCAATTTCCAAGTGTCCTGTATGCTTGTATCACACTTCCACACGTCCCAGAGCGGAGACGACAGAGCTCTGGTGCCCACTGCTGGGCAAACACAACACTACACTCCTGACACGGGTCTAACCCCGAAGTCACACCAGGAGCTACAGCAGCACATAATGTGCATGTAAATTTAAAAGTTTCAATTCACAACAGAGACAATCCTGCTACGCCAGCCTGCACATCTTCTTGCATTTTTCAGACATCGCATTTTGTACGTGCTTTTTGTTCTTAACATGCGCATGTACAAATGTGTTTTGTTTTTTGTTTTTTTTTAATGTTAAGGTGTATTAAGTTAGAATGTGTGTATTGTGCAGAACTGCAACGCATTTAAGCTGGTTATGGCTGATTTTATTGTAAAAGAGAGAGAGACAACCCCGAGCCCATCGAGCAGGGTGTCCAAAAAGTGCGATGGTGATACGGCTGCACTTCCCTCCATGTGGCACGGAGCTCTGCACCCGTCCTTACACCCTCAGTCACTCAACAGTCTACACGGGTGGACCTCCAAGCCCATCCCGACAGTGAGTCCTGGTTCAGGTCTGGTTTAGTCCTGGTTTAGTCCTGGTTCAGGTCTGGTTCAATCCTGGTTCAGTCCTGGTTCAGTCCGTGGCGTGTTTCTTCTACTCATTAAACAATGCCTGTGAAGTGATGACAGTCAAGTCGTGGTTGAGTCATTGTAGAATTGATGTCTGACATTGTAAATTACGTTATATTTCTCCACTTCGAGGATTAACTTTTTGTCGTCCATTATTGACGTTTCCTTGGATGCAGTGCGTGTTGTTTACGTCATTGTCTTGACTTTCGTTAACTTATTTTGAAAGGGCATCAGAAGTTTATTTTGACACCACATGTTTATTTCCTGTCTTTCCCCTGCTGAAAACCTTGGAGACGCTCCGTTGACGCTGCAAACTTAGAATTCCAACCTATCTTGAGCAGCGCTCACATGAGGGGCCTAAGGAAGATACATCCTACATCCACTGTTTCTAATGGGGCCTTTGAATGATAGGAATATTACACACTATGTTCTAAAACTGTTATTTAAGATCTTTAAATTAGATTTGATAGTTTTCCACAATCCTCATATACTGTAGTGTATCTTACTGTCCCTTACTGTCCTTTCACATGCCCTGCGCTTGCATTGAATCATTAAGGACTGGGTATGCTCTAAAAATAGGCATATTCTATCTTTTGAATGAATCAAGCCCCACAATCTGAAGCGTCCACAAATTAATGTTTCACCTTTGTAAAAATACTAACAAACCTCAGCCAAACCACACCCACTGAATCATGCTTTGAGCTTTTCCCATCTAAGAGCCACTCCAATAACCAGTGTCCATGCTAAAAGTCCCTAGTGTCTGCGTACACTGGTGTATGAATGTGTGTGTGTGAATGGGTGAATGGTTCCTTGTTGTAAAGCACTTTGAGTGCCTTGAAGGTAGAAAAAGTGCTATATAAAAATGTGACCATTTACCATATTCCACTTTCAAGTAAGACATGAGGTTCTCTCTGACTGACCTGGCGTCCGCTGTGGTCTTCCTCCCTCCCCTCAGGAGCTTTCGGCACTGGGTAAATGCTCTGAGGACTGACCCCGGACAGAAGCTCCACACACTGCTGACTGAGAGCTGCACACACCACACACGCAACACACATTAGATGGGCCAGTGTCCAGGTGTGAGGGAGATGAAGCAGTGTGATAAGGTGGGAGGCTTTGTATTCATTCCATTGCTGGGAATGACATCTTTATATGCATTGTTTTATTTTTGTATTCTATGTTTGTATGTCTCATGCTCCCTGTAAAATAAACAACTAAATAAACTAAACTAAACTAACTATACACACTCACTTCATGCAGAGTAGTGAAAGATGAGGAGGGTGAGGCAGGTGAGGCAGGTGAGGCAGGTGAGGCAGGTGAGGCAGGTGAGGCAGGTGAGGCAGGTGGAGCAGGTGAGGCAGGTAGAGCAGGTGAGGGGTGAGGCAGGTGGAGCAGGTGAGGGGTGAGGCAGGTGGAGCAGGTGAGGCAGGTGAGGTGAGGCAGGTGAGGCAGGTGGAGCAGGTGAGGCAGGTGGGCAGGTGGAGAGCAGGTGAGGGGTGAGGCAGGTGGAGCAGGTGTGAGGGGGGTGAGGCAGGTGGAGGCAGGTGAGGGGGGGGCAGGTGAGGGGTGAGGCAGGTGGAGCAGGTGGGCAGGTGGAGCAGGTGAGGGGTGAGGCAGGTGGGGCAGGGGGAGCAGGTGAGGGTTGAGGCAGGTGGAGCAGGTGAGGCAGGCAGGTGAGGGGTTGAGGCAGGTGAGAGCAGGTGAGGGGTGAGGCAGGTGTGGGTGAGGAGCAGGTGAGGGTGAGGCAGGGGGAGCAGGTGTGGGTTGAGGCAGGGGGAGCAGGTGAGGGTTGAGGCAGGGGGGTGAGGCAGGTGAGGGTTGAGGCAGGTGAGGCAGGTGAGGGTTGAGGCAGGTGGAGGCAGGTGAGGGTGAGGGTTGAGGCAGGGGGAGCAGGTGAGGGTTGAGGCAGGGGGAGCAGGTGAGGGTTGAGGCAGGGGGAGGTGCAGGTGAGGTGAGGGTTGAGGCAGGGGGAGCAGGTGAGGGTTGAGGCAGGTGGGAGCAGGTGAGGGTTGAGGCAGGGAGCAGGTGAGGCAGGTGAGGGGTGAGGCAGGTGAGGGTGAGGCAGGTGGAGGTGAGGCAGGGGAGCAGGTGAGGGTTGAGGCAGGTGGAGGCAGGTGAGGGTTGAGGCAGGTGAGGGTTGAGGCAGGGGGAGCAGGTGAGGGTTGAGGCAGGTGAGTGAGGCAGGGGGAGCAGGTGAGGGTTGAGGCAGGTGAGGGTTGAGGCAGGTGAGGGCAGGTTGAGGCAGGGAGGGAGGCAGGTGAGGGTTGAGGCAGGTGGGAGGCAGGTGAGGGTTGAGGCAGGTGGGCAGGTGAGGGTTGAGGCAGGTGGAGGGGTGAGGCAGGTGAGGGTGAGGGTGAGGCAGGGGGTGAGGGTGAGGGTGGAGCAGGTGAGGGTGAGGGGTTGAGGCAGGTGAGCAGGTGAGGAGGCAGGGGGAGGCAGGTGAGGGGTTGAGGCAGGTGGGAGGCAGGTGAGGGGTGAGGCAGGGGGTGAGGAGGCAGGTGGAGGGTGAGGGTGAGGCAGGTGGAGCAGGTGAGGCAGGTGAGGGTTGAGGCAGGTCAGGTGCAGGTTAGCTGAGGAGCTGCTTCTTCTCCAGCTCAGTCTGCTTCAGGGCTTCACTCAGACTGTTCCTCTCACTCAGCATCCTGTCACACACGGAGCAGCAGTCAGACACACACAACAGGGAGGGGGGGGACTTTGGGACAGATTTGGTTTTGTTTTAGCATAAACTATGAAGCAGAGGCCTCTTTGTATTAGGTGGGTGGAAAGCATAGACTGTATATACAGTACACTGCTCAAAAAATTAAAGGACCACTTTGAAAAGACATCAAATCAAAGTCAAAAACACTGATGTTGTATATCTATACAAATATGGAAAGGGCAATGGCTTAGGAATAAAAGGATCCTCTTTTAATGGTAATGGAAATTGGGATAAAATCCTTGAACCCACTGTCAGATCCTACAGTCGTGCAGTAGGTCCTGGGTTCCTCCTGATGCACGACAATGTCTGGCCACATGAGGTAAGAGTCAGAACCTGGAGGATGAAGGGATTGATACAACTGAATGGTGCTCACAATCATCTGACTTAAACCCGACAGAACACCTCTGGGACATTGTTTGGGTCCATCATACGCCACCAAGTTGCTCCTCAGATTCTACAGGAGCTCAGTGATGCCTTTACACAGATCTGGGAGGACATCCCACAAGACTCCATCTGTCATCTCATTAGGAGCGAGCCACAATCTTATCAGACATGCACAGAAGCACGGGCCACACAAGATACTGAGAAGCATTTTGATTTGCAAAAATTACATTTTGGCAAAAGGGACTAGTCTGCACATCATTATTTCACTTGAGTTTCAGGGTGTCTATAAAATGAAACCCTCTTGTAGGCTGAACATTTAATTTCCATTAAAAGAGGTGGCACCATTTTTTACATTGAGATCTGATGTCTTTTCAAAATGTTCCTGTAATTTATCGGAGCAGTATACGAATGGACATATCTGACACTATTTTGTCATTTTGTCCATAAAAGCAAAATCATATTCATAATATAGATCCTGGCTCCAAATTTGCTCATGTAAGTGCTAGCATCACTGAGCTTCCTTTGAGTGGCCCTAAACGCTATGGGTGACGTCTTTATACAGACTATGATGGAGAGTCAATGATGACTCTACCCAGGAGTGTAGTAGCAGTAACACCTGACCCAACAACAGTGTTCCACAGGTTCACTCTTCACATTATGAACAATGTGCAAAATCTTAAACATTTAACTTTATCTCCTAATAGTGCACTTAATGGCAAAACCATAATGTCCTTCTATTACAATTATTCTACAAAAATGTACAGTATATACTCCTGACAAATATCCTGCGTCATAATCCGGAGATGGATCCCTGGGCCCACTGCTCCTGACAGGGTGCCCAGGTGTAATGGCTAAAGGCTGGCTCAAATGCAGATTACACATTTTCTCATTGATTGTTTTTATTCAAAATATACCTCTCTTTTATCTGTTAATATAAGTAACTTCAAAAGTGCCCAGGGTCACCAAATATAGAGCAAGTTCACAACAGTAACACAATATAGATAAGTGTAATGCTACACTGTGGACCATTTCAGGCAAAGCAAATTTCCATGGGGACAAACAGTTTTAAATCATTCTTACCTTTGAGTTGATGACAAACATTATGCACACCAGTTAAACGTTTTAGAACACCCTCATTTTTCCAGTTATTTATTGCAATTCAAGTGATGCAAGTCCAATGAAGAGCTTGAAATGGTACAAAGGTAAGAACTGATCAGACAGAGGTTAAAAAATATAAAAAAAACAAAACACAAGTCTAAGCTCTGCCAAAACTACCTCAGGAAAAAAGATGGTGAGCTTGAAAACCTGGAGTGTGGAGTGTGTGAGTGTGAAGCACTGGTTTGGGATGAAATGGACAGAAGAGTGAAGCAACTGACCAACTTCTGCAACAGACTTGGGAAGAACTTTCTGAAGAATATTTCTATTGTAAAAAGAATGTCACGTGTGTGTTCAGCTGTTATATCTGCCAAAGGTGGAAACACTGGTGAATCAAAAGTTAAGAATTAGTTTTGGTCAACAGTAAACAGTAAAACCTGGAAAAAGTGTGGTTTTCTAAAACTTTTGACCATTAGTGCACATGAAATGAATTGTGCCTGCAGTGTCTAGTTCCTTTAATCCTATTCTGTTTTGGACTTTCTCCTCCCTAACAATTTCTTGTTTTTGTACACTCACCTGTAGAAGTTCTTCTCAAAGGCCTGCTCTGAATTGCGCAGGCGCAGCTGGCTCAGGCTCAGCTCCCACTGCAATGTGTTCACCTCCTGCACATTAGAGGGCAGCACTGGCAGAGGGCTCACTAGTGACAGACGGTACCTTCTCCAGAGCAGCACTCAAAGGGCTCACTGGCATGTGTGGTGTCAAATGTTACCTTCTCCAGAGCTTTGGCACGCTCCTCACTCTTCTGCAGCAGGTTCTTGGTGTGACTGGTGGCCCTCTCCAGGATGGCCTGAGACAGAACAGAAATAAATCATTCAGCACACATGTCATACACATGCACACTGTCCTCATTCCCATAGTGGGTGCATCGAGGAGGGAAGCAGTTGAGATGAGGCTAAAAACAATAGCTTTAAACCAAGATGCCTCCTGTGAAAGTGGAGTAGCTGTAGAATTATGAAGCACTTTCTGAGCTGTTCAAATAGTCCCATATGATCATGAATATACCAGTGTCTAACTCTCAAAATACAGACCATCTCAAAGAAAATGAGAATATCATGAAAACTATTTTTTGACACGTATTTCAGAAAGTCAGACCCATAGATTATATAGACTCGTAACACACAGAGTGAAGCTTTCAAGCCTGTATTTTTTGACATTTTGATGGTTATGGCTTACAGATAATGAAAACCCCAAATTCTGTGTTTCAGAATATTGTGAAAAAGTTCAATACTGGAAAGTCATGGTGTCAGACCCTAATCAGCTAATTTGCTCAAAACACCTCCAAAGGTTTCCTGACATTTTAAATGGACTTTTGGTCTCTCAGTCTGGGTCAGCGGGCTTCACAATCAAGGGGAAAGCTGCTACTGCTCACTGACACCATCCACAAGGAGAAAACCACAAAAGGTCATTGCTGAAGAAGGTGGTTGTTCACACAGAGTTGTATCCAAGCATATTCAGAGAAACTTAAAAGCCAAAGGAATGACCGCAAGCTTGAGAGGATTCACTCAAGATTCATTAGGAGTGGACTAAAGCTGGAGTCAGTGCTTCAAGAACCACTACGCACAGATGAAGCCCCTATGGAACATGAGAGGATTTGAGAAGACTCTTACCTGGGCTGTGGAGAAAAAGAACTGGACTATTGCTCAGTGGTCCCAGAGTCTGGAGGAAGAGTGGGGAGGCACAGAATCTACATTGCTTGAAGTCCAATGTGAAGTTTCCAGAGTCAGTGATGATTTCTGTTGATCCACTGTGTATTCTGAAGTCCATAGTCAATGCAGCCATCTACCAGGACATTTTAGAGCACTTCCTTGCTTCCTTTTCCTGACACGCTTTATAGAGGCACTGATTTCATTTTCTAGCAGGACTTGGTACCTGGTCACACAGCCAAAGGTACCAAAAGATGAGTCAGTGACTATGGTGTTACTCAGCTTGACTGGCTGAAGATGAAGAGACAGCAGACTCAGCAATGCAGATGACCTGAAGGCCGCTATCAAAGCAACTTGGGCTTCCATAACACATGAGCAGTGCCACAGGGCGGGTGCCTCCATGGCACGACACATCGATGCAGTAATTAATGCCAAAGGAGGCCCAACCAAGTACAGAGTGCATAGAAATGAACAGGCTTTTCACAAGCCTGACATTTCTGTTTAAAATATCTTTTTTATTGTAATTGTAATATGTAAATTTCCTGAGACACAGAATTTTGCATTTTCATTATCTGTAAGCCATAATTACCAAAATGTCAAGAAATAGTGTTGAAAGCTTCACTCTATGTGTCATGAGTCTGTTTAATATATGGCTTTAACTTTCTGAAAAAATATTTAACTCTTTCATTATTTTTTTAAAATGGTCTTTGGTGTTACAGTCGTGGACAAAATAGTCGGTCCCCTCTGGCAATGAAAGAAAAATCGACAATCATCACTGAAATAACTTGAAACTGAGAAAAGCAATAATAAATAAAAAAATTACTGAAAATTGTCCAGTGAAAATCAAACATTGCTTTTCACCTGTGGTTCAACAGAATTATTAGAAAAAAAACAAAATTATGAAACTGGCCTGGACAAAAATTATGATAATCTTAACGTAATATTTTGTTGCACAAGTTTTGAGGCAAACTCTGAAAACAAATGATTTCTGTAACTGTCAATGAGACTTCTGCTCTGGTCAACTGGTATTTTGACCCATTTCTCATGAACAAACTGCTCTAGTTGTCTCAGGTTTGAAGGGTTCCTTCTCCAGACGCATGTTTCAGCTCATTTCACAGATGTTCAGTAGAACTGAGATCTGGGCTCACAGAAGAACACTCCAGAACAGTCCAATGTTTTGTTCTTAGACATTCTTTTGTGTTTTTAGCTGTGTGTTTAGGGTCATTTTCCTGTTGGAAATTTATTTCAAGTTTCCTCTTGCGGCAAAGTCCAGGGAGGCTGGCTACAGTCCTCTGGACCTTAAACTTCAGAAGAACATGTGTAACTGCTTGGAGGAACATCAAGCTGCTTGGAGATGGTCTTATTGTCTTTATATTTAACCTGCTTGTCTATTATTTTCTTTCTGGTCTCCTGACACAGTTCTCTTCTTCTCTTTCTCTGGTCCATGTTCAGTGTTGTGTCCATCATGTCTCCAAACAGCACAATGACACATGTCTCCCTTTAAACAGACAGACTGACTGAGGACAAGTTTGAAGAACATGTGATGCAGATTAGAGACACACCGAAGTTTAACATGTCCCTATTGTTCAGTTACTTACAATCTTTTCTAGGGGAACCATCATTTTTGTCCAGGCCATTTCATTAGTTTTTTTTAATAATTCTGTTGAACAGAATTGAATTTCAGTGAAAATTGTTGATTTTTCTTTCATTACCAGAGTAGTATCAACAATTTTTGTCCACGACTGTATAAATATATTCAGCACCAATAGTTTTTCTGTGCTACCATTCTCTGTGTGGCCATGAGTCAGTCTCAGATTGTCCTGTAATGTGTGTAATCCCTCAGTCCAGGAAGGATCCAGAACAAAAGAAAAATTTTATTCTATCAACTGGAAAAAAAGTTGTTTTTTTTGTGAAAACATTTGGCAGCTCATCCAAGCATTTTGTTTTGTTTATTTTTTCAGTACTGCCTGGACAACTGGAGGATTACACAGCCTTCTTCAGTTCTGGTCAGATTGCTGGTGGACACTGCCTTATATCTGTATGGACGGAGGCGCTAACTACACTGACACTAACACACCTACTTGTTTACAGTTTGTTTGTCATCCAGGTCTATTGAACTGAACAAATGCTGTGCCTGTCATATTAGCATTACCATATGGAGTGATACATAAGAGATAGATGATACCTAAGCCCTCCAGTCCTGTTGAGCTGTCTTTCAGACAAACATGTACCTAGTTATTACATATCACAGATAAACACATTTTATTATTATTTTTTGTGAAAAGTTCATTTGTGATCTTTATTTCAGCTTAAGATATGTCTGTGAGCCTTGCTATGGATTTTACAAGTGAAATATCAATACTGGCAAATGTTGGTTATCAGCCACAGCAACAGGCCAAATATCGAATCAAAAAATATAGGCCCAACCTTAATTACAATTTAGTGTTGGCAGTAATCATGTTAATAGTAATTTCAAATCCTTTATTTTGGAAAAAGGATCCAAATCTGTCCAGAACATCTAGGCCAGGGGTGTCAAACTCAAATTCACAGAGGCCAAAATTCAAAACTGGGACTAAGTTGTGGGCCAAAATAAATATTTATTGAAAAATTTCAACAACATCTGCATGTTTTCTCTTCTTTCAAGATCTGTAATGTTAAATCTTTTTTTATTAAAATAAATGTTTAATAATAGTTTTGCTTAAACATTGAATCTCAGCATAATATAAAATAATAACATTTTAAATAAATAATGTCTCTACAGTCTATCTGTAGCCAGCAGCAGCTCTAATACAGATTTGATATGATCTCACGGGCCAAATATAATTATATAGTGGGCCAAATTTGGACCCCGGGCTTGTGTTTGACATGTCTGATCCGGGCTGTTGGTTGCTCTGAAGTTCAGAAAATGGGTATTTGATATTAAGGGAAATAGCACTGCTATATCCACCTGCTAATGCTTTGTTATCATGAGGTTATAATACTCCCTGCATCAGAAGCATAGCCAGACATGAATGGACAGAGCCAGTGTGTTGAGTGTTCATGTCTCTGGCTCCTGTACTGATGGGAAATAAACCGTGCTAGACATGAGATTCTCCTTACATTTTAATTCTTCTACTAAATTCTACAGTAGGTTAATCCTTCATGTAGGTACTGCTGACCAAGATCCTGGCTCATGATGGATCTCTGGGCCCACTGCACCCTGTCGGGTGCGAAGAGGTAATGGCTGAAGGATGGCTTAAATGCAAAGGACTGATTTTCCCATTGGGACTATATATAGAGTACCTGTCCCTGGAGGACTTTGAGAGCGGCGTACTTTCCCTCCAGGTATCTGTGAGCCACCTCCAGCTCAGTCTGCAGCAGCTCGATGGTCTACACAGGGACACGGACTGTCAGCACCAAATGATGGGAGTATCAACAAAGAGCAAGACTTACTATATTTATCTGTCTGTCTTTTTGTATCTCAACTCAAAGCATTTGTTATGTTCTAGTTGGAATGGTTGAAGTCTAGAAAGGCCCGAGCAAACCTGATCCTCAGACACGGGCCTTTCTGTGTGGAGTTTGCATGTTTGTTCCTGTGTCTGGATGGGTTTCCTCTTGGCACTATCAACCAAAAACATGCTACAAAGGTCTCCAGGAAGAAAAGCTATTGGAGGTTATTTAAATTAAATTAAATACAATCAGTTGATTAAAATACTGTCCCACTAAGTGTAACTGTATACTTTTAACTGTATGTTTTACTTAAGTTTTGTTGTAAAGCAACCTTGAGTGTCCAGAAAGGTGCCTGATGTTAATAATAATGATGATGATTATTATTTAGTTGTTTTTTTTTTGTATCAAAGAGACCACTCTCACCTCCATTGCCTTCCGAAGTCCATCTCTGAGCTCCTCTTTGGACAGCTCGTCAATGCAGCCCGCTGAGGACAAAAAGCAGTCTTTACAAAGTTTGAATTCAGTTCCATTTCTTTATTATTCCAATTAATCAAGTCATTTTTCTTCCTTAACTGTATATTTTAAAATAATGAACATGAAGATGTACTGGAATAAAGAGAGTAGCTCAGTACAGGACAACAGCATAATAAAGAATTTCATAAACCACATACACCTGGAAATGCTGTGCAACTGTGAGTAGCTCCATGGAACCTTTGGACTCCAGCCAACCTCAGACGCCCTGTGGTTCCCCTCCTGTGAGCTGAGTCCGGAGCAGCTGGGGCTCCTCTGGATCATAGACTCAGTCCTGGGTTTGGTTCTTGTGCCATTCCCCAGGTCCCCGTCTGCCATGTCTTCGTCTACACCACCAGAACCTGCAGGAGCCCCTGCACCTCCAGCTCTTTGCATCTGATCCCACTGGCAGAGAACCACAACACCACAGCGATGAGGAGCAGGGAAGAATTCCTGAAGACAAACAAAAAGACATTACACAAACAGCAAATAGCACACACTTTTTCTGAAGCTAGAATTCTTAACTGCTTAAAGCCATAGTACGCGTTTCTTCATTATCTCAGTGTTTTTCATTACACTGAAACACTCGCGTATTTATTCATGCGTATTTATTCATGCGTATTTAGCGTGAGCGGGCTTAAGTGCCGCGCTCAAACCAAACAGCTGCTACTGTGGCCGAATGCGCACAGCACTGCCATAGTCCCAGTTCCATGAAAAGCAGCTTCTGTTTCCTCTTGGTGAACAGGGGACGGTGTAGTAAAGTCGTGACTCACCTTTGTGACACTCTGAGGTCAGTGATCTCCAGCGGCCCCACAGCTGTTAAGACCGAAAGGACGCGCTCTGGGCTGCGGAGCCCCAACCTCAACTCCGCCTCCTCTTCTTCCTCCGCCTCCTCCTCCTCCTCCTCCTCACCGCCTCCGCGCTCTCGGCACCTGTCCTGGTTGATTCTTTCCAAAGGTTCCTAGCCCCGGGCCTTGCTCCTCTTGCTGCTGCGGACAGGGCGCCCTGATTGGATGGTTCTCGCGGAAAGTAAAACGAACCTAACGTGAGCTAATGTGTTGATGACGTAAGGTTAGAATAACGTGGTTAAAATGCTCTTCAGCTTTTTTTAATTCTTAAATTGTATTACTCGAGTATGAGCAACAAGAAGCTGTGCAAAATAGTATACAGCATAATCCCGCATGATGGAGGAAAAGGAGGCAAACAAAGACAAGCTCGAAAAATCAAAGAACTCAAACAAAAACAATAATATATTTTAATAATGACAAAAGGACAGAAGCTTCACTCAGCTGACAACAGGCAGCTCCAACAGGGCAAATATTGACACAAGGTGTGTGGAGGAACAAAAAACCTGCCCACGTCACATAACATCCATAGAGCCTCCTCCAACAATACACAAAAACACACCGGCCTCACATTATACAGCAGATTAAGAATGTGTCCAAATAAATAGCCAACCACAAACTGAGTGGAGAGAACTAAAGTAGACCAGCGATACCCAAAGTGTGGTCCATGGCTTCATATGGTGGTAGTTAAGTTTATTTTCATTAGTTAAATTTGTATTCATGTTTATGGCTACTTCAAATGGAGAACCTGTACTAAGAAGCTACTTTGGATATCACCAGGGTCAGGGTTAACCCCAAAGTCTTTTATAGTTTCAGGTTTTAATTTTAATGAGTTTATTGATGTTTTAGTGCTACATCAAGGTTTGGTTTAGTCTTTATTCATCTAAGCTTCGGTCTGATTTGTCCTCCTTTAGACCTGGTTTAGTCTGGTGGTACACTGAAAGCCTGACCATGAGGCGGTAGGTGAACCATCTCATGTGTAGTCCCGTGGGTGTCGGGGTGTGTGGGTCAGTCACTGTCGTACTCCTCGATGAGCAGCTCCTCTGGCTGCAGCAGGGCCTGTACTGTGCCAGGCTGGGTCTGGCTGTCCGGTAGGCTCTCCTGGCTGCCTGTAAGGTCTTCTTCACTCTTCCCCGCCTCTTCTCCTTCACTATCCTCTGGGAGCTGGCCCAGTTCTTTATCAGCTACAGTCTCCAGTTTTATCCTGAATAATGGGGAAATACAAGTTTGCAATCAACTGCCATAAAACCATTTGTATTATTAAAGTTTATTTAACATAAACTTTATTTAGACCACCATAACATATTTAGATCACCATGTAACCTTTTATTGTTTCAAAAATGCTATATTCCATAACTTGTTTTATTAGTTTCGGTTTCATTTTGACACTATGCGCTTCTCTCTTTGCTCCCCACACAGTCACCCCTGCAGAGCACTATAATACAATTGGCGTTCATTTCAATGAAACTACTGCATCTCATCAACTTTGTGAATTTGCAGTGTATATTTATGGAAAATGTCCATGGCGGTGCATTAGTGACGTAGGCTTGTGGGCTGAGCATTGAACAGAAACTTTCTGCTAAACGTAAGGAAGGTTTGAATAAAAAAACATGCCTGAAAACCTCTTCAGGCATGTTATTGATGAGATAAAGCTATAACATTGTAGAAAACTCAAAAAAGTTAATTTTGTGTGATACCACCACTTTAAATTGTGGGCGTAAACAGCGTGATGAAATATGATGTTTTGTGAAATCCAGTTTAAGCAGATAATTGTGGGAAAGACAGTAAGATTCCATAACCTATCGTCCTGCAATGTTGAATTGAGATGAGACCTGGAAAAGAGACTTCTCAAACTATTTCTTTGCCTGAATGTTCCACAGTATGGCATTAAACTTGTCCATCTCCATAAGACAAGGAAGTGACGACAACAGGCCAAGTTACAAGTCAGATTTGTGGAGCGGAGATAGCATGATATATTGCCAGATATATAACAATAAACAATAATACAATTATACAATGACATAACTCATTTATGTCACTGACTCAACAATGACGCAGGATGAGTGATATTTTAAGTAGACAGCATCATTAAAAGGCATGAGCCTCAACAATCAAATAGCCAAATTAACTGATAATAATTACCCCTACAAGTTACTTATTCAACTCTCTAAAACTCAAATCCTATCATATTACAACTAAAATCCCAAAACCTACCACTAGTGCAAAGAAAATGTACAGATGATAAATATGTTGTTGGACGTATCTTAACGGTCCCTTGTCTGCAGACTCTACACATATGATTGCTTTTTTTTAATCAGCTATGTTAAAGTGAAGGTAAAAACTGAAGGAGCTTCTATGTTTTTACTGTGTTAATCTGATAAATTGTGATATTTTATGAATAAAGTCATTCTTGGCATGTCTGAAAATCAATGTTCTTGTAACTTGTTTCTTCATTTTTTCAAATTTAAATATAAAAAAAATAGTATAAATGCAAGATGGATAAGCTTAATGACAAACTGTAGAACATCCTAAGTGAGGACATCTGTTTAGTATTTTTTTACTTTTTCAGTATGAGCCACATACATAGTCCCCCATGTGCAGTGCTTTTTTTGACATGCAGTTAATCTGTGTATGTAACCATAAGATGGAGATGTGGTGGAGATGTGGTGGAGATGTGGTGGAGATGTGGTGGAGATGTGGTGGAGATGTGGGTGGAGATGTGGGGGGAGATGTGGGGGGAGATGTGGGGGAGGATGTGGGGGAGATGTGCGGTGGGAGAACCTGTTGGGCCACCTCCTCAGAGACAGCTGCCCCACGTCCTGGATCAGGTCAATCTGAGCTGCAACACAATCACAGGTCATACATATACTGTCATGCTGGAATCTCAACACCTTCTGAGGTGAAACAGCATGTTTTCATTTTAATCTAAAAAGTGACATACTGTTGTTTAACCAGTTAAAGTTAAAAGATGTCAAATTGGGCTTCTGGAGAGGGGATAACTATACACACTAACTATATATATATATAAAAATACTGCAAAATAATAGGGATGAGACGAGACAGAGTTGCCACAAGATGAGATGAGTTACGAGACTGGGTCCACGAGAGCGGGACAGGAGTTTGACATTATAATAGAGAATTTATTAGTTCAGTTCATAATGTTGGTCTCAAATTTTGATTGACAGATATATTTGTTTTTTGTATTATGGTTAAAGGTTATTAAATTTCATAAATGTGACCGATCTGTATTCCTAGATATCAGGTAAACATGTTCAAATCAAATACAACTTTTACTGATAGCAACTGTAATGCAGATGTTTGATTTAAAGGTTTAATTTGTATTTTATGATTATCCAATCAGAAAGCCTAATGAGTCTCTCTCATTTGCAACTCAGTTATGGAATTCTGGAGGTTCTGCGCTTTCCCATGAGGCATGGCATGTTCATATACTGAGATAATTATGACCTTGTAATTTACTGCCTTTAATATAAGTGCCAGTGACAGATCGGTACCTTGGTTCCTCATGGGGCTGGAGAGCTTGGCCAGGTACGGCAGTAGCTCGGTCTGGAGGGCCACTGGAGTAAGGCAGAAGCTCTTGAAAAGGGTCTGGGCAGCCCGGCAGTTCCCCCGATACTGCACAATCACCGCGGCGGCAACAACAACAACAACAACAGGGAGTCAGACACTACAGAAGCCTCATCTCCTCACACAGCTCCTAGACCTTACGTTCTTCAGGACGTGTAGCCAGTGAGGTTTGTGCAGAGGCCTGAAGCCCACTGTGGCCTGCTGGGAGTTGCAGTGGAGGAGCCCCCTGGTGGCCACTGAGGAGCTGTAGTCAGACAGGACACTGCGGGTCTGAAACAAAAATACCTATAATATATTTTAAAAAACAGCCCACACTTCAGAAGCAAGCAACTGTTTAGACATTTTGGGAATTATTTTTAAATAAACAAATCTAGCAGAAAAAAATTTACTTCTAAGGGAGCATTCTAACAGGTGTCCAACAATGTTGCCAGTCGAAGCCAAAGCTAATCATGGCAATGTACAGTACAATTCCTATCCATTTAAGCTGGTCTTTTTAGCCCCAAACAGATTATATTGTGTATTGTTAGGCGTACCGTCCAGTTGGCTGAGAGCAGGTCAGCGTCTGATAGGTACTCGCTGGCCCTCTCCACACTTTCCATCTCACAGAAGAAATCCAAGTAGTTCTGGTGCAAGTATAGACTGAATATGTCTGAGGACATGTGAGAGCGTTCCACCACCATCTGCACATAGACACATGGGACAACAAACACCAAATCATTTCTTTATATTGCAGTTCACTGCACATACTGTATACTTCATTTTTAGATCAGTTCAAACTATTCAAACGTCTCTGCATTATTGTGTAGCGGCCCGGGCCTGTGCTGCTGGACTGGCAGACTGAGGTGGTGGTCCCTCTGTATAAGAAAGGGGACCGGAGGGTGTGTTCCAACTACAGGGGAATTACACTCCTCAGCCTCCCCGGTAAGGTCTATTACAGAGACTGAAGAGAAGAATTCGACCAACAGTCAACCTTCAGATTCAGGAGAAGCAGTGTGGTTTTTGCCCCGATCGTAGAACACTGGACCAGCTCTACACTCTCCATCAGGTCCTCGAGGGTCCATGGGAAGTTTGCCCAACCAGTCTACAAGAGCTTTGTGGATCTAGAGAAGGCAATGGACTGTTATTCGTCCCTTGTGGTGTCCTGTGGGGGGTGTGCAAGGGATATGGGGTTTAGGGCCCTTTGCTAAGGGCTGTCCGATCCCTGTACGACTGGAGCAGGAGCTGTGTTTGCATTGCCAGCACTACATCAGACCTGTTCTCAGTGCACGTTGGACTCCACCAGGTCTGTAAACTGCATTTATGGACAGAATTTCTAGGTGTAGTCAGGGGCCAGACAGGGTCTGGTTTGCGCAACACAGGATCTCATCTCTGTTGTTTACAGATAATGCTGTTCTGATTGCTCGGAGACTACAGGTTGAAACTAGATTTAGTTAAATCTGGTGTAATGCTTCTTTTATGAGATTAATGTGTTTACATATGGTCCCTGTTAAAATAAACCAGTAAACTAAACTATGCTCCATTGAACCAGGAGCTGCAGCATTCAGCATGCAGTTTGAGCCTGGTATGAAGCAGCTGGGTTGAAAATCAGCTCCTCTAAATCAGAGGCCATGGTTCTTGAGCGGAAAAAGGAGAGTCCCTGCCTCAAGTAAAGGAGTTCAAGTATCTCAGGGTCTTGTCCACTGGTGGGGGAAGAAGTGAGATTGACAATGTCTGCAGTGATGCAGTATATGACTCCACATACTCTGAGGTAAATGTTTAAATCAGACATTTTTTTTATCACTGCATTTATATAGCACCTTCAAGACACACACCGCGCTTTACAGTTCATTATTCATTCACTCCACTTTCAAGCCACTATTGTAGCCACAGCTGCCCTGGGGCTGCCAATCTGCACCATCGGCACTGGCGATCATCACCAACATTTACACACACTCCACTTTCATGCTAGGCAATGTAGGTGAAGTGTCTTGCCTAAGCAACAACAGTTTTGGTGACTGGAGCCCCACTGTGGCACCTGGAATTCCCAGTGGTCTCCCATCCAAGTACCAGGCCTGGCCCTGATTAGCTTCTGAGATCTTACGAGATCAGGGTTTGACAATCTGGTATGGCAACCATAGTCATTCATTGATATTAACGTTTAGTCACAATTACAAAAATCTTTGTACATGATATAAACATTGTTTGTCAACAAAGCTGAGCCAGTTATGCAATAAGAAGCAGAATGAGATTCAGAGTTACACATAAAACCAGACTGCAACGAACAAACATGCAAACATTTAAAGCTGTTCAGAAGTTCCGAATCGGAACACAAACATCAAGTGAAGTTGAAGGGCATTGATTTGCAGCTTAGTGATGGAGTTTCTTTCATGTTAACAGTTCCAGTAATGACATCCTCTTCCTCTTAGACTATGGACTCTATAGTCCTATATAGTCCATAGTCTAACTATATTAGACTATTATAGACTGTATATTCTAGAGACTATTCCTCTACACTGTGAATCCACCATAAAAACACTGCACTGACTGTGCTGTTTCAGTCAAGGGCTCAGTGTAAAGAGTACCACCCACCTCGGGGTCTTCCAGCAAGGGCTCTCTGTGGTGCTGGGACAGGTGAGGAGGCAGACTGCCCTCCTGCTGTGCTGCCATCACAGCTTTTGAGCCTTCAGGTATACCTCCTGTTACCAGTGACAACACAACACAACAACGTTAGCCATTCTTAACTGGGGGATTTATTTTATGCATTAAAAATAATTTTCAATTTCAATGAAACACACTAGATGGTATTTTGTAGGGCTGTGCACTTATTTACATTGTAATTGTGATAATATCACAAAAATCAAGTTACAAAAATTTAGCAACCTCTAATCACTAATCTGAAATGACAAGAATAAAGCATATTCATCTTTTATTTATTTGACCTTTATTTAACCAGGATAGTCCCACTGAGATCAAGAATCTCTTTCAGGGGAGTACACATACATTGTGTATACAAGTAGGCCTGTCACAACAACACATTTTGAAGTGTGATATATTGCTACAGAAAAACATCTTGATAAACGATAATGCTGAAATTACTTTACATCCCTGACACAATTCACTAAAAGCAGGATAATGCCAGTAAACCTTTTTAATCAAAGTGAATCTTCTTTTTATTTAAATGTGGTCAGCAATGCATAAATGGTACAATTAACATCTATGAGACTTTATAAACCAATGTGACTTATTATTTGACCCACTACAGCTCAAATATCATCATATAGGCTTAAAAAGTAAAAAAGTGCACTCGTCGCTTTCACTGTTGTTTCTGTCTGTTTCAGAGGGTCCACAGTTGCTTGTTTCTATGAAGATGAGATTGCTTGTTCCACAGCATTTAACTTGGCACTCACTGCCACTTGAGCTCTAGAAAGTTAAATGTCTTGGCACCTTTAAAGCCAACTTAAAAATATTTTTATTCCAGCAGTTCGGCAATTGTTGAACTGATCGGTTCATTGTATTTACAGTTAAAACTATTATGTGCATTATTACTTTGTCTTTTCTGTCTTATTATGGGGAGGTCTGTATATCTTTGGAACTGTAAAGCAGTTTGTAACAGTTGTTTTGAAAAGTGCCATAAAAAAAAAAAAAAAAAAAATTATTATTATATTATCTCCAATTAGATAAGCAATTTACAAGTCAGATCTGTGGAGAGGTGACACCACTCACATCAAGAATATTCTTGAATAATGCAAGTTAACTTTAATGAAAATCATCTCCATGGAGACAAAGCTCAAAAGTTAGAATTATACTAATAAACAAAAAAGACTGAGATCTCTCTGTATTATTGATTGATATCATCGTGGTCCCCACACCCTTTACATTACCGTGCAATCAGATTTGTTAATTTCCTCATTGGTCAGCTATCATTTACAAAAAAATTTAAATTTCTCTCACCTCAGATTAACAGAATTTAGCGCTTTGGAAAGTATTGAAAATGTGTGTATTCTGGATCCCAGGCAAGTATTTTTGTACTTTTCTTCTCAACTTTTTTCCCCACAAACTATCACTTCACCTATGTACCCATATGCATATGAATATTTAGCACAGGAACTATCCCATCAAACCAAGTAATAACTAGAAAAACATGTCATGCACATTGAGCATATGACCTGCCTTGAATGTCTCTGTGTGCATTAGTGTTAAATGTGTGGCTCACGTTTGCAGTGCAAGATCTTGCCCAGGGCTCTGAACAGGAAGAGTGAGGCGTCCTTCCCTCCGATGGCCTGCTCCTCTTCTTCTGCTCTTCGCCTGCTCTTTTTAGCGCGGTTTGGTTTGGATCGGCCTCTTCCAGAGGACATCCCAGAGGATTTCTCTTTAAAAGTTTTCAGGAGACTCTTTTCCAAAGATGTGTCTGATGTCAAAACAACAGAAAGCAAATTGTCTGAAATCAATGAGTTTCTAATGTTGAGGTCCAAAAGGCAGTGGGGTTAAATCAGGTTTATAAGATACAAGGAACAATTATTTCACAATCTTACAAGTTTAATAGCATAAATCAAGTTCAAAGAAAAGATGTCTGTTGGTCCTAGATAAGAAAACTAAACTTCATTTTATGGAATAAAATTGATGAAATGTACCCACATGTAAATGTACACACCAGCAAGTCTCTGCAGTCACATACAACCCCATATAAAGTAATGTTGCTCTGGTGTGACTTGGTTTAGAAGAGTCAGGGTTAGAAATGTATTTATTTATTTCAAACAAGGACAGTGCACAGAAGACATTCATCTCAGAGAAAAGATGCTCTGTGCCAGATTTAGCTACAAATTACTATCGATCTGGACCTTTGGGACTGCACCGAATATCAGCTAAGCTAATACTGTGTTGGAGTCTAGAAACTGATAATACTCTATACTGGCCCTGAACATCTCATATTAATTAAATTTGTAATCATTTTTGTGTAGACATTTCTGTAGATATGTAGACATGTGTGAATGAAACAAAAAGCTACTTCAGGTATGTTTTTGAGGAGGTAAGAACATTATAACATGGTTTAAAACTCACAAGAGTCAATTTTGTGTAATATAAAAGACCTTTAAAAAGACTCAAGCAGATCACTGACAAACACAAATGATTGAATCTGGATCTTGATTCAAAATGACGTGCAGAGAGATACCTGGGATACAGGAGAACTGCAGGCTGTTGATGGCACTGCGGATGTCCCCGGAGCAGCCCGTACACAGGCGCTCCAACAGGGCCCGGTCTGGGGAGGTGAGGCGGCCACAGCTCTGCTCAAACACACAGGACACACACACATGAAAACACACACACTGTTGGCACACGTGAGGCTAGACATGCCTGGCACAAGTCCACCCGTCCTCAGCCCACCTTGTCCACCTCCAGCGCTGAAACACGACTCAACACTTTCATCATGGTGGTTGGAGCCACGGGGTTAAAACTAGAACAGACAGAACAGTTAATACCAACAAACTGCTGATAATACAGGTCTTCTGTTATGCAAACATTGTCAAGAGGAACTATGGTGAATATTATGGTCAAGTATTGTAAAGATAAAACCACAAAAGATCCTGAGATGTAGTGCTGCACCTGATATGAGCAATGTGCAGCTCCTCCTGCAGCTCTCGGGGAAACAGGTGTCTGCTGCTGCTGTCTGCACTCACACTGTCTGACACAATGAAGACCAGAGGAACTCGACTGGTCTTCACAAAGCGCCTGGAACACAGTGCACGTCACAGCGAAACGTTCTCTCTGTACATGTACCAACACAGCACACCTCACAGCCACACAGCCCCTCTGTACATGTGCATACACCTCCAGCACAGCACACCTGTATACAAAAGGACCTTACCTCAGGGTGTCATGGAGGCTGCTGGGCTGTCTGTAGAACTGGTTGGGGAAATCCTACAACACATGTCATCACATACTTGAGATTACAGGTGCTGTCATCATGAGGTGGTCAATGTTTCCGGGTTTGACATTGATCGTAAGCACCGTTATTTATTGATTCATGGATATGATCCTATTTTACGTCAAATTAACTCTTGTGAGCTTTAAGCCATGTTACAATGTTCAATCCTGAAAAATATACATGGAGTTGTTTTGTTTTATTCACACATGTTTGAGTAACTTTTTATTATTTCTGTAAGATGCTCCAAAGCTCAAAAATACTCTCTTCTACCTTATGATGTCATGAAGAAATGCTATATTTTTTTTAAGTTATCAATTACCTTTTACCTTTTGTTCAGTAGAGAATAGCAATTCCAGAACTAAAATGATAGAAATCATTTTAATAAAAGGTATGTGGGGTTTATCAACACAGTGGAGCACTTCCTGTATTACCACATGGCATCATAACAGTTTTTCTGTTTGAGAAAAGACTTGAAGCCTAAATATGGAGGGTTTGTATATTATATATACATGCGTGAATGAAACTATGTATCTTCTGATAAGGAAACAATATTTTAACATAAATGAGAAAATAGCCTAATATGGACCCTTTAAAAACACTGGGTTTCATTCAAGATTTTTTTTAGATCATTCAGAAAAGGAGTGACTGGAATGATCTTGTGTGTATCAGTTAAAAACACAAATCAGTACAATTAATCACATGAATTAATAACTGATCATTATTTCTAACAATTACAACAATGAAATTACCAGAATTTTAACATTAATTCTGTAGTTCAGTCACATTTTTGTAAAGTTGCAGCAAGTTGGGGCCTTTTTAAAATGCGTTTTGTCCCACAACAGCTATATTGTATAAACAGCTCTTGAGCTCAAAATAAGTCCACTGTTTACAATCAGGAAGTGTGTGTTAGCAGGCTAGTTAATGCTTTGCTGTGAAGCATGCTTATAAACTCACTGCAGTGCATAATTAGGATGCTCGGAATGCAAGGTAAGTGAGGAATCATTTCAGACCAGCAATCATAGTCCATTCCTAGTTTTCTTCTTAATAGGTCCTACTGTACAAAACTGACTCTTGTGAGCTTTAAGCCCTGTTAGAGTGCTGTTACCTCATCAAAAACATACTCGGAGTTGTGTTTTGGTTCATTCACACATGTTTGAATAACCCTGCTGACATTTCCAAAGCTCAAAATGCTCTGTTCCACTTTATGATATCATGATTATAGATAGTTTAAGTTAGCAGCATCTACCCTTTACCTTTAGTTCAGTAGCATAAAGCAATTTCAGGGCTGAAATGATCCAAATGAGTATAAAGAAGGTGTAAGGGGTTTAAAAACACAGTGGAGCACTTCTTGTATCACCACATGATATCACAAGATTGAGGAGTTTGAGTGTTTTCTGTATGAGAGAAGAACTAAATATGCAAAATCTGTGTGCTAAACATGTGTGAATGAAACAAAACACAACTCAAAATTATAACAAATCAGAAAATAGCATAATACTGACCCTTTAATGGTCATACTGGGAAGCCCAATCATGTCACATCTCAGAAGCTCAGCAGGGCTGGGCCTGGTTAGTACTTGGATGGGATAACCACTGGGAATATCGGGTGCCACCGGGGGGTGCCAGTCATTAAAAAATAACTGTTGCTGTGTCCTAAGGCAAGGCACCTCACCCTCATTGCCTAGTATGAAAATGGTGTGTGTGTGAGTGATGGTGGTGGTTGGAGGGACTGAAGGGGCAGATAGGTAGCCTTGCTTCCATCTGTCTGCCCCAGGGCAGCTGTGGCTACAATAGTATCTTACCACCACTGGGTATGGAGTGAAGGAATAATGATCTGTAAAGCGTCTTTGAGTGTCCAGAAAAGCGCGGTATAAAACTGATGCATCATCCATTAAAATGCATCATTTTACAAGACAATGCGATGCACCTTCAGGTGAGTTTGCATGAGGGTAAATCTGTATGTAATATGTATGTAATAATGATTGTGATGATGACATAAGTACCTCGACCAGGATGACCTTCTTGAGAGAGGCTGCCCCTTCCCCACTCATCTGCAGACAGCTGTATTTGTTGGCCCTGAATAGAAAGTCCTGGAACTGCTGTAACTGAGAGCCCTGGAAGCCCGACAGACCATTCAGTTGCCAGTCTGCATCAGAACATACAAAGGATTATAGTGTGTGTACTCCAAGTCATATATCAACCAACTTCCATTTAGTTTTTCATCTAAGTATTTGATATTTTAAAACAGACCTATTCTGCGTATATTTTAGCCATGTTAAAGTTGTTTCCCTTCTCCTTCACCCTTTCAGAGTTGTATTTAAAGTGATTAGTGCATGTTTGAGTAATCTTTATTCTCCTGTATTCAAGACGTCTTGATCTGATCTACCCCTCTTTTCACTGTCACACCATATGCCCACACTCCATATTTACATTGCTCTCAATTGTATTTTCTTAATTGATGATGCACGTAGGATTTTTCAGTGTGCTGCTTAGTAATTTTCGTACATTATGTTTAAGAAAATTATTGTCATTTAAAATGTTCAAATTATAAGAGAATGATCTATGGGAGTCACTGACTGTATAAACAGGCCTCATGTGAAAGTTCAGAACCTCTACAATACCCTGCCTGAGCTGCAGAGGCTGCATTAGTACTGACTCATGTTTGGTGCAGGTGCTGGGGATTAGATCATTTTGATCAGAGGCATTTGAGGTTTGAACCAACTGGATTTCAGCATTGAACCAAAATGGGAGTCTCATGAGGTTCGTTCCATTTTCTGATCGTTATAATTTTTGTGTTGTTTTTTTTTCTTTGATGATTATCCAAACAACTTGGCCATTATGTGCAGTGTTTTTGAGCTAAGAATAAATCAGCATTACAATTGTTATCACTAAAAACTATATTTGATTTTCACATCTTTATGTGGGGGACACAGTTAGGTCAGGTTTGTGACATTTTAAATCAAAATCTTATATACAGTTCTTTTAAAGACAGACAGTTAAGAGCGCACCCTGCTGGCTGCTGTGCTCCATGTTCACTGGGTTGCTCCACTCCTGGATGCGGGCTCCTAGCTCTCTGGACAGGACCTGCACTGTGGCTGTTTTCCCACAGCCTGATGGACCAGTAACCAGTAGCACACCTCCCTGTGGACAGGACACTGCTATTAGGAGTAGTGAAGGGTGAGAGAAAGCATTTGGTTAAAAAATGAGTTGTTGAGTTGTTGTGGTGTGAGCTAGCCTGGCAGTCAGACTGGTTCCTATGCGTTTCATGCACCTCAAGCTCCACTTTACAGTTAGTGAAGGTCTGCATTTACACCCATATAAAGTGCTTTAATCGCTTTAATCCATATCTAAACTATGGCCTGGGGAGGCAAAGGTGGTCCTAAGACTTCTGGCTTCTAAGTGAACTGTCCCATACTACTTTAAGCAGTATTTCTTACTGCATGTTTCTAACAGTCTACCTTGATGAAACAAATATCCAATATTAGTGTGTCCTATGGTGGGTCTAAGCATGAACAAAGGTCTGGTGGCTCAGTCTGACCTGTTACAACTGAACATATTGACTTTGATCAGTCCTCTGCTTTGTCTGTGTTTAAATTTACAATTCTTGGTGAAAAAGTTTGGATACCCTACTGCTGAATCATTTAGCAATTTTACAAATATTAAAATATGAATGTAAAAATTGCATACATAAGTGAGGAGAGCACAGCGAGCAAAGCCGGACAAACATACCCTGGATGAGCTGAGATGCTCTGTCAGCCATTTCTCCACCTCTTCAATCTTCTTTTTGTGAACAGCCAACTCTGACTACAAGCAAAGGAGTTTATTTTAGGGATTCTTTAAACATTTACAATCAGAAAAAACAAACACACATTTTCAATTTCATTTTTCAAGTTGATTAAGGCCAGAATGTCCGAACCTTTCTCCTCTCAGGAGAGATTTGTAGTGGTGGGGGAAACCAGTGCACACAGAGTGAGAACATGCAAACGTCTATACTATACCTTGTTTTAATGCACACCATTATTTTTATTTGATCATAATTAGTATATTATTATAGTATAGCATATACAGTATTGTATATTATTCTTTGTTTCGTGTTGCACTGTAATGTCAAAGCAAGTTCCTAGGTTGTGAATTTTGTTCAGTGACAATGATAATAAAACTGATTTAAAAAGGTGAAAAAAAATCAACAACAGTGCACAGAAGACAGTAAACCTGTGTGTGGGGAGCATGGCAGTCCACCCAGGGCTCATCTTGGCACAGCACTGCCCCTTTGTCCTTCAGTCCCTTGTCCAGGCATGGAGCTGGGACAGCTCTCCTCCAGTCTGGCCTCTTGCTCTCCGCTCTGGAGCTCAGGGGGTGGAGCTTCTTGGGCTCACACACGGGGTCAGAGGTGAGGTCACAGAAGGAGGGGTCCACCCAGCGTGTCAGCTGTAAACACAAGACTAGAGCATGGAACATGTCTCTTGAGGAACATTATGACTTCTCTACACAGAAAGCTTTAAAAAACGACATAACATGATTTTGTCTGTCAACTACACTACCACACATACTAAAAAGAAACTCAAAATGACTCCTTTACATTTAACTGCTTTAACATTTTTTTTAAAATAGGCTTTTATCACTGATTTTGAACCTGATAAGTCTCAGCTGTGAAGTGAAAATGGTTTCAGACTTTTGACTGGTAGTGCAGTTATAATCTGTGACACCAATGCATTATTATTTTATATTTTGGACAATTTAATCGCAAAGTTAATCTAAAACCACTCAATAATAGAAACAAGTCAGCTGACTTCTGAAACGGCAGCAAAAGTCATTACAACCAAGAGCCACTCTGCTGGACCATGCAGACAGCGACACCTATGGATGCAGATGACAGAGAGCAACGGATGGGAAGCAACGGCGCCTTGAATACAAGAGAACAAAGATGACTAAAAGATGCAAAAATGACTTTAAGTACAACCTCAGAGGGTCAAAGAGAAGGGAAATGATTACAACATGAAAGCTCTGAAAAAAAGATAGTAGTGTAGTGTAGTGTGCAGCTTTTCTGGTGGAGGATCCAGCTGCTGCGTGTCTCCATGGAGATATTATTGTTTTCCTGAAAACATTCCACTGTATCGCATTAAGCTCATCTATCTTTCATGTATTCCCTCCACAGATCTGACTTGTAACTTGGCCTAATAACATGGTCTACTTCTCTTTCCCTCCCCCTCCACCAGAAAAGTGACATAGTGCAGCTTTAAACTGCAGCTGTGACAGACCTTAGTGGGAGCAGTGGTGGATCCTGTGCACTGCCTTTTCATCCTGGAACAAACAGATCAGAGCGGTACTGTCTTTGTTCAAATGCATCCAGACAATACAATACATGCCATTTGAGCAAAGTATTTTTTGGAGATAAACCTACTTCAGGGTTCTTGTGTCATTGGTATATATTTTCAGTATCAAGTTAGGTATGCACCGATCCAGATTTTTCTGTTCCGATATCAATGCTTACACTTTGTATACTATCTGCCGATAGCCGATATATATCAATTGATACTAGGGTTGAGACAGAAAATATGTTTGGGCCTACACTGTCCAGTAAATCATCTTAACTGACTGGATATTGGTTCAGTCAAAATGGGATTGACTGAATTGATATCCAATCAAAATGTTCAATATCGACACAGATATCAGTATCCAATATGAGTATCATATGAGTGCCTCCCTAGTTATTGTTTATCATTTATATTTTCTTCAGCAATACTGTAGATCTTCAAAACATGTTATGGTGACAGGACTAATGTGCAGTACTGTTTTTTATTTTGGACCTGGTTTAGACTTTGTTATTTTAGTCCAGTTCCTATTAGGTCCAGATGAAGACCAAGGAGCTCTGCAGTCTCAGTTTAAAGGTGTGATGTCGCACAGTGGGGCAAATAGGAGTGCAGCTGTTTTGAGTGGCCTACGTTGGACTACACTAGAGATGTACCTGCGGCCCTGGACCACGGCCTAAAATAGTCCCGTTATAAACCTGGCTTATATCCGATGGCTATTTTTTTGTGTTGCGCAGTGTCTTCCATGCACAGCATACTCCTATATTATGTAAATGTACTTCAAGCTTTAAACCATGTTCAGATTTTATTACATTATCATTGGAATGTGTTTTGTTTGATTCACACATGTTTGAGTAACACTTTATTATCAGTCTATCTACATCATGGAGTGGTAGTTTTCAAGTGAACAGCTCTTTTAACCTTTAGTTCAGTACAGACTGGCAAATCCAGGCCTGAAATCATCCCTAACCCAGATGATTTTAGTGAAGGTGTGTGGGGACTTGCACTTGTATTTATTTGTATTTTATTTGTATTTATTTTGACCTCCATTTGGTGTGCTGTTCTTCCTGGAGTCATTGACTTCTGCTGCATGTTTTTTGGCGTTGAGGGAAACCAGAGCACCAGGAGAACATGCAAACCACAAAAAAAGGCCTTAAAGATATCAGGAGGCAGGACCGAGCATAGGAGCAGTGAAATACACCTTCGTGTCCTCAGAATGTTCATAAGTCCAGAATGGAGACAACTGGAGGCAAAGTGAAGTAAACATAACACATGTCCAATAATGACTTCAGATCGAAACGGTAACGTCTTGAAGTCTTCTGCAACAATTGTGAATTTTGAGGGTTTTCATGTCAGTTTTTGCTTTTTTAATTCCACTGAATGGACAAATACCATTTGGGACCTAAAGAGTTTTCATTCCTCACATGTGTCCCTCACATACTGTACTGTTAAAAGCTCAAATACACATCTACATTCTGAGGGATGTTGGAACTGTCCAGTGCTGTCCACACGAGGACACTTCAGGCTCATATTTAGTCTTAGTGTTGGTGTAAGTTTAGTTTAGTCCAGAACTTGACCTGGTTTAGTCCTGGTTTAGACCTGGTTTAGACCTGGTTTAGACCTGGTTTAGACCTGGTTTAGACCTGGTATAGACCTGGTTTAGTCCTGGTATAGACCTGGTTTAGTCCTGGTATAGACCTGGTATAGACCTGGTTTAGTCCTGGTTTAGTCCTGGTATAGACCTGGTTTAGTCCTGGTTTAGTCCTGGTATAGACCTGGTATAGACCTGGTTTAGTCCTGGTTTAGTCCTGGTTTAGTCCTGGTATAGACCTGGTTTAGACCTGGTTTAGTCCTGGTTTAGTCCTGGTATAGTTTGGCAAACCTTCTAAACTAAAGTGGCTCCATAAAACGCCTTACCTCGCAGTCCACTCTTTTCTTCAAATTCCCAGGTAGGGATGTGGGCTTATAACAGCAGTGACTCGGTTAGTTACACCATGGACATTTTTAGATGAATTTTTTGCTCTACAAATGTGAAAAATGTTGTGGCGCAGCGTCAAAATCGAACTACAACTTTTAAACAGCCTCCTCTCTTCTTTACGGCAACAACCCACACATTTTACGGTCATAACCCACGCTTTACGGCTGCTCAGGCAGCTTCTCCACACGACTGTGGCAGAGCACGTCTTTGCATAGCTCAATAGCGCCACTATCCGGAAGCAACTGAAACCAGTTTATAAGCGACACTTAAAAGATTTTTCAGTACTTTTGGGATTAATAATTGCTATGGCAACAGTGGTAAAAATACTGTTATCACTCAGGGGATTGCTCAAAGGGTCCGTGCATGTCTGCTACGAACAGCATAAAAAGGTTTAGATAGTTTCCCTTCAGAATTATATCCAAAATATTATAGTATAATAATATTATTTATTCCATTCCATTTTCTTCTGCTTAATCCAAGGCCAGGTCGCAGAGATAGTCTAACTCTAACTTTCCAGAACAGATGCCCGAGTCACCTCACCTGGCTCTCATCAGCGTGGACGAGCAGCAGCTCTACTCCGAGCTCTTCCTGTGTGACAGAGCTCCTCACTCTTTGCCACCCTGTGGAGAAAACTAAATTTCAGCTGCTCGTATCCAAAATTTTCTTTTTTCAATCATTACCCGAAGCTGCTGAAAGATGACTGTAGAACTCTTCTGTATTTATTTATTTTTATTTATCACATTCATTAAAGTAGGCTATCTGATTTCAGCACAGCCTACCCTCTTTGGCCTATTTGCATGATGATGTATTGAATATGTGTTAAAAATAAAGAAATAAATAAAAGAGCCTCCATAGATAAAGTGCATTCTAGTCTTTACCAATAGGGGGCGGTGAAATCACGCTGCCCTGGTTTGTTTTGGTTAGCAGTTAGCTGTTAGCACACGTGCTCCGGGGTAAGTGGAGTGATCTAGTGTCTCTGCAGACTGATCTCTGTGTGCAGGGGTGTGTGTGCAGGGGTCTGTGTGTGTGTCTGTCCGGTGCGTGCTCGGACACTCTGGACAAACGTGTCTTTTGTTTTACAGTTCCACTTTGATTCTTCACACGTGTTAGCTGAGTGTTAGCACGAGCACAGGAACAGATGATCATGAGGAAGAAACCCAACATACTCCTGACAGGTGAGGCTCTCAACAACTACTCATCATATCTGACTTTAAAGATATTTGTTATTGTGAAGCTGTTGAGTCTGAACCCGGATTAAACAAGTGTTAAACAAGTAAACCAGGTCCGAAAAGAAACCTCGAGCCATTCAGGTCTAAACCAGGACTAAACCAGGTCTAAACCAGGACTATGCCAGGTCTATGCCAGGTCTATGCCAGGTCTATGCTAAGACTATGCTAAGACTAAATACATACACAATACAATAACAATGAAAAGTACTTTAAACTGCACATCATTGTCTATTACAGTGGTTCTCAAGCTGTGGAGTGCACACTGCAGGGAGAGGACACGTGTATGGGGTTTGTTTTGCCTCATTAGGGTGATCTACTATGGCAAGCCAAACTGTTCACATTTACACCTTTAACACCTTATTTGTTGCGTCAAATCATTATACATTATGATAATGATCTCCTCCCACTGTTTTTCCCAGTCAGTGAATTTAAAGTGCTTTCAACCAATCACTGACCAAGACAAAGAGTCCAGAACAGTCCAAGCCCCAGCAAGCTGAGTTTGTGTGTTTCATATTTTTTTCCTATGACAATTGTATACAGACAATTAAATAATCAGTTGCTTAATGAGCAACATACTGAAAAGATAAATACGTTGAGGTGCATGACAACGTTTTAAATTTGATAGATTACAATTTACACAGTGTAAGGTTTATTTTTTAAGAGTAAAGATTGTGTATAGGGACATCGGTGTTGGACTGTTCTGGACTCTTTGTCTTGGTCAGTGATTGGCTGAAAGCACTTTAAATTCATTGACTGGGAAAACAGTGGGAGGAGATCACCATTGAGACATTATGTTTGGGTGCATCAGACGCCTCCAGGTTGCTCCTCAGACTCTACAGGAGCTCAGTGATGCCCTTACGCAGATCTGGGAGGACATCCCACAAGACTCCATCCGTCGTCTCATTAGGAGCGAGACACAACGTTGTCAAACATGCACAGAAGCACATGGGTTCACACAAGTTCTTGAGAAGCAGTTTGAGTTGCAGAAATGAAATATAAGCAAAATGAACCTGCAAAATGAGCCTGCAGATCATTATTTCACTTTGAGTTTCAGGGTGAAATGAAGCCCTCTGTAGGCTGAACATTTTATTTCCATTGCCCTGTTTATATTTGCATAGATATCCAGCATTTTTTTTTTTTCACATTGAGGTTTGATGTGTTTTCAAAGTGTTGCTTTACTATTTTTGGAGCAGTGACTGTAAATTATAATAAAGCTTTGTTGCAGCCTTCAGCGGTCTAATATCATAGTAAATCATACTCAAAGCAATGCCATTAAACAGATTATTGTAATAATAATAAGAAGGTAAATGAATATAGACAAGACATACTTGAAATAAAACTCAACCCTCCAGTGCCATGAAATAAACTAAAATGCCAAATGTGGAGTTGTGAATGAAAAAACCCTCTATCCAACCCTCCTTATGTACAGTACTTATAGTAGTGTGACCCTTATATGGAGTAAGAAAGCTGTCAAAAATATTTGTGCGCATAAAATAGAAATCCGTGCGTATTTGGGAAATCCGTGCATATTTGGCTGTAGTTGCACATAAAATAAATATTTGTAAACTCTCAAATGAAAATTTACGATTACGCTTTCATCAGTACGAATACGAATTCACAGACGGACCTTTACTGTCAAAAATACGTCATCACTTCACAGACATTATGCATCGAGCAGAAGAAACATCGATCAAGATCAAGACTGCGCATGCTCAAGTGTGTACTAGAGGGTAAAAAGAGTAATAGCACAAGAAGCTACAACAGCGACCGACAAGTGGGTTAATTAAAATCTATTGTAAAAATGTCTTGAATTCGGGAACCGAACGCTGCTGTATAATATTGTGTAGAAACACCTCCTTTGAACGGGAAATTGCACCTATATGTTAGATAACATAGTGGTAGCCAATTGGCTAACATCCGACGTAACGTTATCCCAGGGCTAATTAACAAATATCAGGTTCTCTGTAGGTTTAGATTAAAACATTCACGGCTCCAGCCACAGCGAGCATCAGCCAGTCTTCACTTCAGCTGCATTTCAGACATTGGGTTATACATGAGTTATAATGGGTCATAATTAGCAAATCCATCCACGTCACGGTGACGTTATACTTACCGGTAAATAATGTATATATACCAAGGTGTTGCCTGTAAACACGAACATTAATTGATGCTGGAAGCTGCATTAAACTGTAATGTGTAACATTTCATTGGCTGTGATGTCTGTAACCAGGACAGTTTGGTAATGTTTGGTGTAAACTGGGACATTTCAGCGTCCTGAGGAACTTTTGGTGGCATTTCATGCGAGAAATGCAGCTGATGCTCGCTGTTGCTGGAGCCGTGAATGTTTTAATCTAAACCAGGCATGTCCAAACTATGGCCCGGGGGCCAAATGCGGCCCTCAGACAAATTTTTCTTGGCCCTCAGACTTCCCGGTGAATTGGCCCAAATTACCTTGCATCAATGAAAAATGGACTTTTTACTGCAAGTTTTTTGAAAATCTACCTTGATAAAGCCAATCTTTAATATTTAGTGTGTAGTTTTAAGGATCTTAGCATGAATAAAGACTGATGGTTCATTCTAACGTGTTTAAACATGCACATAATACAGTTATTCGCTGTACTGCGCTCCAGTCTACGGCCCTCGATCGGCCCTCTGCTTCATTTGGGTTTCGATATGTGGCCCTTGATGAAAAAAGTTTGGACACCCCTGATCTAAACATACAGAGAACCTGATATTTGCTAATTAGCCCTGCTACAAACTTGAGCATGCGCAGTCTTGATCTTGATCGATGTTTCTTCTGCTCGATGGATAATGTCTGTGAAGTAATGACGTATTTTTGACAGTAAAGTTCCGTCTGTGAATTCGTATTCGTACTGATGAAAGCGTAATCGTAAATTTTCATTTCGTGATTGTAATTCATGACGTCGTAATTTTTCAATTCGTATTCTGATGGATAAAATACACACAATATATTTTATGTACGACTGGACTCATTTGAGAGTTTACAAATATTTATTTTATGCGCAACTACAGCCAAATATGCACGGATTTCCCAAATACGCACGGATTTCTATTTTATGCGCACAAATATTTTTGACAGCTTTCTTACTCCATACCCTTATACCATATTTTCCAGAATATTGTATATGTCCGGCTACTGAAGTTTGAGACGTTTCTTCTCGTCATTTACGCATACGGGCAAGACGTATCCCCCTCACTAATGTTCATTTAGTATCATAACTTACTTTATCGCTGTGTGAAAAATATTTGAGTGCACTGACAATATCGCTAGCTATTGTAGCACAAACAGCAGCGCTTTCTGCATTCAGGCTGCACGTATCCGCTGTGTTGCCAAACCATCGACCATAAATATGAATGGACAATGCGCCAAACAAAGAATCCGTCCATATATTCGCCGCAACGTTTTATTAGCCACAGGGTTCAAAGTGTGAGAAAAAATTAGCAGTTTATATTTCGGGAGTTACTCCTCAGCAGATTGTTCATCATATACACTGTGTACTCATTGTACTGTGTCTCTTATACTCATCTGCAGGTACTTCATCACATATACTGTGTACTTGCAGGTACTCCAGGAGTGGGGAAGACGACCCTGGGGAAGGAGCTGGCTCAAAGGACAGGCCTCACATATGTCAACATCGGCGAGCTGGCACAGGAAGGTTATCTCGGTTCCATCTTCTTTTCAGTTGAAGGGTTTCTAGTCAGTTTACTGGTCTGTGTGGGTTGTAACATTACTTCTAAAGAAAGATACTTGGTTTGATCCAGTACTTTTAAATGTAATGCTTGTCCTGAGATGATTTGTAGTTGTTCCATTCCATTCCATTTTCTTCCACTTTATCTGGGGCCGGGTCGTGAAGGCAGCAGTCTAAGCAGGGACTTCCCTTTCCACACACACTTCCTCCAGCTCTTTTGGGGGGACCCCGAGGCATTCCCAGGCCCCCAGGCCAGCCGAGAGACATAGTCCCTCCAGCATGTCCTGCCGGGGCCTCCTCCCGGTGGGACATGCCCAGGAGGCATCCGGAACAGTTGCCTGGCCACCTCAACTGGCTCCTCTCAGCATGAAGGAGCAGCAGCTCTACTCCAACCTCCTCCCGTGTGACTGAGCTCCTCACCCTATCTCTAAGGGAGCGCCCAGCCACCCTGCAAAGGAAACTCATTTCAGCTGCTTGTATCCGCCATCTTGTCCTTTTGTTCATTACTCAGAGCTCATGACCATAGGTGAAGGGAGGAACGAAGACTGACTGGTAAATTGAGAGTTTTGCCTTTCGGCTCAGCTCCCTCTTCACCACAAAGGGTAAATACAGCAACCGCATCACTGCAGATGCTGCATCGATCCGCCTGTCAATCTCACGCTCCATCCTCCCCTCACTCATGAACAAGACCCCGAGATACTTGAACTCCTCCACTTGAGGCAGGGACTCTCCACCCACCAGGAGAGGACAAGACACCTTTTTCCTGTCGAGAACCATGGCCTCGGACTTAGAAGAGCTGATTTTCATCCCAGCCACTTTACACTTGGCTGCAAACCACTGAAGTGCATGTTGTAGGTCCTGGTTTTATGAAGCCATCAGGACAACAACATCTGCAAACAGCAGAGATGAGATCCTGTGGTCCCCAAACCGGACCCCCTTCGGCCCCTGACTGCGCCTAGAAATTCTGCCCGTAAATACAATGAACAGAACCGGTGACAAAGGGCAGCCCTGGTGGAGTCCAACATGCACCAGTAACAGGTCTGACTTACTGCCAGCAATGAACACAGCTCCTGCTCCGGACGTACAGGGACCGGACAGCCCTTAGCAAAGGGCCCCGGACCCCATACTCCCAGAGCACCCCCCACAGGACACCACGAGGGACACGGTCGAATGCCTTCTCCAGATCCACAAAGCATATGTGAACTGGTTGGGCAAACTCCCATGATCCCTCGAGCACCCGATGGAGAGTGTAGAGCTGGTCCAGTGTTCCACGGCCAGGACCAAAACTACACAGCTCCTCCTGGATCCGGGGTTCGACTATTAGCCGGATTCTCCTCTTCAGTACACTGGCATAGACCTGATTTGTAGTTATGTTATTTTGAAATATGACGAGTATTATTAAATAGTGGTTCTGACTATACTTAGCATTTAGCTCATGCTTTCATGTGGACTTAAGATGGCCTCTGCTCTTGTTTGTCCAGGACAGCTGTATGATGGGTTTGATGAGGAGTACAACTGCCCTATTCTGGATGAAGACAAGGTGAGTTCGAGCAGAGGCACCAGCTCCATCTGAGTTTCACTGAACAAAACCCTGCTTTCTTGTGTTTGGAGATTTCTTTGGGAAAAGATGTTGATTTAAAATTAATTGTTCCCACTAGTTCAAATGTGTATGAAATCACTTAACTGGCACAAAACTGGAATTTCCTGAATTGTATTTTATCTACATCAGGACTTGGGCCCCATCCACACTAGTCCGTATTTGAATCATTTTCCTTGTGGATGCAGTGTTCGTTCACACTAATCCAATTGAAAACGGCTCCAGAGACGGAACGATCTGGTGCTGCCAACTCCCACGAATTCATCTGAGTACGGATCTGATCCAGCACTGTGTGGATGCCTGAAAACACTGATATGCTGATGTAGTTCTGTGCAAAGTAGTTAATTCAGCACCAAAACGCTAAGAGGCTAGAATATATGTCCATTCATATAAACGGCCTATGCTTATGATCATACGTATATGCACTGTATAATCTCTGAGAAATTTAACATGAACCATCTCCAACATAATAGAAGCACAGAACAGACTCACCAACAGCAGAACACCCCTCTGTCACAGAAAGAACACATATAATCCACTGAGTCGTGTCCTTTAGTCTGACAAAAGATGAACTGCATCCGCGCACAATAGAGAGCTGTTTTTTTAGCACTTAGTTTATGCAAATTAAACATGTGGTTTTAAGTTTCATTTCTGTAAAACGTAAACAAATATGCTCAAATGTGTCTGGAGAGGGAAGGCTTGCGGACAAAAAACAAGTCAGTCCTCAACTCTGAGCCACCATGCTCATCTTAAAATCCAGTGTTACGCTAAGTAACAACTGAACCTCGTCGTCAGACGAAAAGACTGTTTTTACACTTGCTTTCTCTCTCGGCTCAAAATCAGCTGCTGCAACTTCAGACTTCCTTGTTTTTACTGCGCTAACATCTATTGTATTGGTGCTTTTCAGGTTGTAGAATGTGATGATGTCATGCTATCAGAAGGGGGAAAGATGGAGAACTTTGCCATGGAATATCCAAAAAAATTCACAAATGTTGAATCTATTAATTTCTAGTTCTGCTGTATTAAATAAAAACCTGCATTTTAACAATATTACCTTTACCTGCCTCCATCTGTATTAAATATTACAGGCCATTAGAATGTTGTGATGTCACCTGTCACATCAACATATTAAAGGCACAACTATAAATTTGTGTTAAAAAGGTGTTTTATTAAATTATTTGTATAAAAATCTGTGTTGAGTATCAAGCCTTTTCCCTCAAATAAATACTGAATTCCAGTCTTGTGCCAACACGAATATGTTTATTCCTGTAAATGACCACAGGGACAAAGACTGACCACAGGGATGAGGTGTAATGTGTGCTGTGTGCTACAGTCATGTCTGTTGTGTGTTGTGTGCTACAGTCATGTCTGTTGTGTACTATGTGCTACAGTCATGTCTGTTGTGTGTTGTGTGCTACAGTCATGTCTGTTGTGTACTATGTGCTACAGTCATGTCTGTTGTGTGCTGTGTGCTACAGTCGTGCTGTTGTGTGTTGTGTGTTATAGTCATGTCTGTGTGCTCTGTGGTAAAGTCATGTGTGATGTGTGGTCTTCGGTGGCGCAGGTGGTGGACGAGTTGGAGGACAAGATGGCGGAGGGCGGGGTCATCGTGGATTATCACGGCTGTGACCTGTTCCCTGAGCGCTGGTTTCACATCGTGTTCGTCCTGCGCACAGACAACACCAAACTGTACACTCGTCTAGAGAGCAGGTGAGTACCTGAGTGGTTAGCACTGGGTTCTACTTCTGGGTTCAATCCCCAGGTTGCCTGGGACTTTCTGTGCAGAGTTTGTGTGGATGGGGTTCCTTCTGGCACTCCAGTTTCCCCCATCAATCCAAAACATGCATCATAGGTACAATCCTCCAACTAAGGTAGACCTGACTGAGCCACTGCACCTGAGGAGATGTCAGATGAGATGTCAGATGAGGAGATGTCAGATGAGGAGATGTCAGATGAGGAGATGTCAGATGAGGAGATGTCAGATGACTAAGATTAACTTAACCTTAACCTTAACCTACAATGTAATGAATAGATAAAACTGTGTCTTGCCCCATCTGAGATTGTTATTGCCCGGATGCTGGTGTTGTTTGTTTGCTGCTTCTCCATCCGTCTTTCTGTTTTTCTGTTCTGTCATAGGGATGTTGGTGGGAGTTACTTTATTATTTCATATACTTTCTAATGACAGTAAAGTGGGCATGCTTTATTCTGTCTTGTATTTGTTTTGGAACTAGGGCCCGACTGATATATCGGTTGGCTGATATCGGCCGATATGGGCACCTGGAAACATATTGGTGATTGGCCGATCTTGCTGAAAATCTTGCCGATATTTCCCGTGGGCATGTTATACGTCGTTATAAATCTTAGACTCTCTACATTATGTTAATTTAATCCAATTTACAGACAGATAAATGTCCTAATATGTGGCTCCACATCAGTATTTATCTGTGGAGTTATTTGTCTGTGTCTGTGTCTGTGTCCGTACTGTCCCAACTCACGTCACGTGTTTGTTTACAGACACAGACCCAAACACTGAGATTATATTCTTTTTATGGACAATCAGTTTGAGTCTGGATTAAAAGGACATTTACTAGTGCAGACTTGAGATGTGAGGAGGAGCCTGTGTGAGCGCTGTGTGTTGGAAATATGTTGATTTTGAAGCTAGTTTTGGTTATTTGTCATTGGTTAGTGATTAGCTGCTGTAGCTCCCACACATAAACAGGCTGTTTTCTATTGGTCTATTGTAAAGTGACTATATTGGCCGTATATTTGTTACTGAACCTGCTTTGATATGTAAATGAGCTGTGAATAGACGTGTGAATTATGACATTTACACATATAATTAATTACCGCTCCGCGCAGCATTTACGGCTAAAGGCTAATAGCGGTATTTTCTTTATTAGCTTGTAGTGATGGAAATGGCTCTTAGAAGCGAACGACAGGAGCTTGCTCCTTATTGGGAGCTGTGTTTTCTCTTTCTCTCACTTTTTTTCTCTTCTCAGACTCAGGAGTTTGACAGCGGCAGTGGCTGAAAATGAAACTTTCAGAAATCTGCGTGTGCATAGGATAGAAAAAATTTGCATATTTGGCTGTAGTTTAGCATAAAATAAATAAATAACGACTAATCTTGGGCTCGAGAGACGGAGAGAGATAGAGACCGAGTCCCGACACTCAGTCCTGGTTCAGTTCTGGTTTAGTCCTGTTTTACACATAGTTTACATCTGTTTTAGTCCTGGTTTAGTCCTTTTTCAGTCCTGGTTTAGACCTGGTTCAGTTCTGGTTTAGTCCTGCTTGCACAAAACAATCTGAAGAGCCGCTTGGGAGCCGAAAGCTGCTTTTACTGAGCCGAGCCAAAAGAACTGGAATACCCATCACTAGTAGCTAGAATGTGATGCAAAAATACCATTAGTCCAACCTACTGTCTGTAAATATGACATAAAGAGGCAGAATAACAATAAATGTTTCCTAAATAAACCCAATTTAAAATCCACTAGAGCCAAACCTAAGTTTTTTTAAACAATTCAAGATTTACAGTGAATTTTTACATCACTAAATATATCGGTGATTATATTCGCTATCAGCAGCTCCAACTCCCATTTTATCGGTTTCATATCGGCCACAACAAAATCCATATCAGTCGGGCCCTATTTGGAACATTTGTTTTATTTGATGAAACAGATGGTAAGCCAGACACTGGCTTACCATGTGTAAACACAGGAATTGAAAAAAGCTAATGAATTTATTCAACAAAAACAGGAAAAAAAAAAAAAGCTAATTCAAAACACATAAAATAATGCCTATAATTGCAAACCAGAGCCATGTAATCAGAGTTGTAATCAGAGCAGTACAGCAAAATGCTCCTGCTGTTTTTCATAAGGGAACAATGTTCACCATGATCAAAAGCTCAGAAAATGTAGTACAAACATACCGTATTCATTTAAAATGAATATGTTTGTAATAAATGGAGAGGCGTGGAGTCTTCTCCAGTTTTTCCCTTTTAATCAAACTCTAGCATTCTCCAGTTGGTGGCTTTCGACATTCTAGATCACGGGTGTCAAACATACGGCCCGGGGGCCAGATTCAGCCCTCCAAGACCTTTAATCTGGCCTTCGTCTGATTTTCTACTAAAATATTTAAATTATATTTTCTATAAAAATATTGTTAATTATCTGCGGTGCTTATCATAGCAGCGTCTCCAGCGTCTCTGTGCGTGGCCCCTCCCACCAGAGCAGCACAAATGAAGACTTGTCTCTTTCCAAACGCTCTTAACGGACGATTGTTTTGACTGTTGACCATGACACCCTCATCAACAAAATGTACAAAATGAGAAAAATGGAGCCGAGTGCAGGATTTTCCAAGAAAAATTGACTTATTTCTGTTTGCATACAAGTTCATGTTAAAACATTGTGTTGAAATTACATTTTTCTTAAAGTTTCAGGTTGTTCATAATATTATAATATTTTGTAAAAGAAAGAGTTCATCAATTAAAAAAGATTTCTGTAATAGATTTGTGTTTCTCTGCACAAATATTTGAACTTATTGTTATTTTTGGGGTTTACATGCCATGAGTTTTCTGATCCGGCCCCTTTGGGATCAAAGTAGGTTGGATACGGCCCCCGGACCAAAATGAGTTTGACACCCCTGCTCTAGATGATAATCATATGTTTTCCTCATTGATTACATTGTACTTTGCCATGAAATATCCAAAAGGTAACTTTGCAAATCATTTCTATTAGTGACTAGAGGCCACAACTTACTGTATCACACATATCTGCATTTGAACAATATTCCTTTGAGCTGCCCCATTTGTATTAAATATGACTGGCCAGTAGAATGTTGTGATTCCACCTGAAACTCAGCAGTATAGTGCACTGACTCTCTTGTGAACACAGGGGCTACAGTGGGAAGAAGCTGCAGGACAATGTGCAGTGTGAGATCTTTCAGACCATCTTGGAGGAGGCTCTGGAGGCCTACCAGGAGGAGATCGTGCACCAGCTGCCCAGCAACACACCTGAAGACCTAGAGCAGAACACAGAGCAGATCGTGCAGTGGACTGAGCAGTGGATCAAGGACCACAACTAGAGTTTATCATGTTATAGAACTGTATGTATGGGGATAAGGTGATATGAGTGAATATGGATTCTAGTACACGGGGAACACTTGTTTCGTCTCCTTGAGGGAAGAGATGGTCATTGCCTGTTAAATACCAGACTGATATCCCTGTTATTTATACAGAGGGAATCAGGTCCCCACGTCCTCTGACACATCTCCACTCAACCAAACATGATGGTACAGACATATTTGTATTTCAGTGTAGACGGCTCACAATAATTACAATTATAAATTACTGTTCAATAAATGAATGAAAGAAAAATAATTTTTGTGCTCAGTATTTATCATGGGTACAATTTCTTTGCAAAAATGTGTGATTATTTTTGTTAATTCCTTGTTCATTCTGTTATTCATTTGTTGCAGCTTATGCTTTTTAATGATACTTTGTATGGTGGTTTACCGTGAGATCATCCTTCTTATTCAGTCATTTGGATTAAGTAGTTTGGGTATTATCATCCCCTCCTGGGCATGTCCTACCGGGAGGAGGCCCCGGGGAAGACCCAGGACACGCTGGAGGGACTATGTGTCAGGGCTGGCCTGCGAACCTCTCGGGGTCCCCCCAGAGGAGCTGGAGGAATTGTCTGGGGTGAATTAATTCTGGGAGTCCCTGCTTAGACTGCTGCCCCCATAACCCAGCCCCAGATAAGTGGAAGAAAATGGATAGATGGATGGCATTCATCCCAGTATCTATCGTGTTATTGTGGCAGGAGCTCATTGGTCATCAGTAATCAGACATGTTTTTCAGTCTCTTGTTTTGTTTTGTTTTTTTGTTTTTTCTTTGTAAGCAGCCATGTTTGTTTTGATATCGACAAACAGCATGTTCCAGATTGGCTAATCCACCTGTCACTCACAGCTTTTGAAGTGATTCACCGATGCAATGACTAGACTCCCAGTTTCATAAAGTACTGGAAGAGTGTATTCCCCTCAGGTTAACAGGGCAGAGCCTGTACACAAACCTAATAAACCTAATGAACTGAACTTTTCCAGTGGAGGATGGACTCATCGAGCACTTCCTGTTTCAATTGTGTCAATACTGATGACAAATGGGCTTATACATGAGTGGAAACAAGGTCATAGTTCCCTTTGCCTTGTATATGTGAGTATAGTGTTAGGATTCTCTATAATTGTCTTTGTATTATGAGATGGGACTGGGCTGTATTGGCTTCTATAAATACAGTGCAACAACTTTATGGCTTCAGTGTGATTGTTTTTGTTTGTTTTTCTGACACAGTTTTTATGACGACTAAACGATTGACAGTTACCTACAGGAGGTTACTTCAGAGTCCTGGTTGAAGGGGCAACTGGATCAGTCCACATCAGTTCACCCAATGAGTTAAACCCTACTTTGTCAAATTTTGGTGAAACTTGGTAAATCATAGCTAGAAAAGCCAAAATTTCTAAATTTTGTTTGATTGGAGTAACATTTCAGAGATATAGCAGTTTAATTTTTTTGACTTTTTATCGTGGTTGTCGAATTTCAAATTGCATTTACTCAGCAACTACTGGTGTGATATCAAATTCCAAGGTATCTCTGGAAAGGGGAAATTGTAAGGAATCCAAATCTGCATTTGAGTACTTTTGAGATGAATGAGCTTTTGAGCTATATTTTGACCTTGAAATTGACAATAAAGGACACGCCCGACCTCAATGACACGAATAGAAACTAGAAAAGCACTCAGAGAGCGCAGACCTCCACCAAGGACTACCCCCATTTTTTATATATATAAATTGCGATAAAATCAGTCTTCTGGATCAGATCCGGATCAGCCTTTGGAATATGAAAGAGGATCCCATTGTCCATCCCTGGGTCAAATTTCATGGGGTTTGGTTAATAATTAACCGAGATATTGAGAAACCAAATTTTTTGCCCCATTTACCACAATGTTAACTAAAATTTCAAAGTGATCCAGAATCCAGGATTTCTTCCAGATCACCCCCAAAATGAAATCAGTTCTTCCTTTTCACATTTCCAACAAATCCTGAAAATTTCAGCAAAATCGGTCCATAACTTTTTGAGTTATGTTGCTAACAGACAAACAAACAAACAAACAAATAGACAAATGCCTGCAAAAACATAACCTCCTTGGCGGAGGTAAAAATGTAGCCCTATATATCTACTACAACATATATAACATCTGCAGGGGTTTTCTTTTTTATTTTCACACAATTTTACCTAGAAGTTGACTTACCCCATCTTAAGACATGACAAATATCTATTCACTGTATTTGGGTATACATTTACACACACAGAGTCACACAGTACCAAAAGTCACTGAGAAGTTCACAGCTGGCTTCGTTTCATGAAATCAGGATATTTCCCGGTACTCCTTATCTGCAGGCCAGTTCACTTCAAATAGTGTTTAGAAATTCTGATAGGTCATTTATCCAAAATGTTGTAGTTTCTTGTCAAAGATTATTTCAAGAAAGGAGTGTTTATCACACAGTGTATGGCTGAATCAGGTATCCAACAAGAATCATATTTGGATGGCCAGTAGAAGGTCTGCTTTGTGCTTTGTGCAATGCTTTGAGCACAAACAGCTTTTGAAATGAGGCTTCAGAACTGAAAAAGAGCCTTGGATGACCTGCGAAATGTATTAAAAATGTATTAAAAAAAAAAAAAAAAAAAAAGTTAAGTTGCCAGAACTGAATTTCTCTTCTGCTATGGATCCTACTTGATGACAGAGGGAACATTAAAATCAAACTCTTACATACAGTTCCTTTGAGTTTGAAGTGATAGGTTAGGCTACATATTTCATTAAAACATAGTCAACATAATCAAATTTACTATATATTTAACATTTTTATTTTTCAAGACATAAAATAATGCGTACATTTAGAAAACACTTGAGATGAGAGCTGTGTTGGAGCGCCCTCTGCTGACAGCATTAAGCATAACCCCACACACTTGGAATGAAACCAATTTCAGCACAAAGAAGCTCAGTTTGCTGATTATTAATAGAACTAAGAACTGACTAATGGAGTATTTTTTGTTACAAATCTATCTGAAATGAAATGAAGTGATTTGTGAGTGCTCAGAGCTAGTGCTTAGAAAGAAATGTGAAAGCAGCAAAATACAACTCCATAAGTTTTGGAGAAGAACATGTCACTTTCAAATCATTTTATGATTTTTACTGTACTTTTTTACTGTGAACAAGGCTTGTCTAATGTACACATAATTTGACAAAAATACATATGACAAATTTATAACACCTATTATTTTCTTAAATGAATGTTTAATTAATTGTCAAAAAATCCCTGTCCCTGCATTTTGGATGGTATTTTTTGTATTCATGACAGAGATAGAGGGATTCTCAGAACTCAGTTCCATTTCCAGTAATTTCTTCACAAACTGCCACTAGAATGACAAAGGTAAATATGAGCCACAGGTATAATCCCAACGCATCTTTAATTGTGTGCAACAGCACCTCTTTCACGCCTGAATGAAGTAAACGTGAGCGGGCTCTGTGCTGGGAAGTCCGAGGAGTGCCAGGCTGCATGCCAACAGCAATTTCCACACAAAAACTGGTATACTTTTCATTTTTAAATGAAGCTATTCATTTAACAGGGCAATCTCACATAATACCTGGTGCCAGCTTTTAGTTTCCGTCTGCAGTTATTTTAAAAAGGCAGGTGGGGCTGTGGCTGCAGTGCATTATTCACAGTAAAATAATACCCGTGGTGGAACGTAATGAAGTAAAAGTAAACTACTGTAGGTATCTGTGTTTTACTTAAGTTCTACTTTCACTTCAGTACATTTGAGAGATGTACTGTGTCTGTACTTTCTTCTCCACTACATTTTTGAACAGGACTGAAGAGTAAAAGTATTTTTTGTCCTAGTTTGAGACTTGATGAAAAGTTTTTAACATGTTCATAGTTTGAGCAAACAAAACAGTAAAAAATGATTCAGCTGCTGACCAAAGCTCAAATCTTAATCAGAATCATTCTATTCAAAGACTTATAAGACCTCAAAATCTGCACAAATTGACTTAGTACTTCCTTACTCTTTAGTTACATTTCCAAATGGATACTTTAATACTTTTACTTAAGTAGATTTTGTCAAGTGATACTTTTACTTATTACTTTTATTTTTTGCTCTAGTATCTGTACTTTTACTTAAGTGACAAAATTGAAAGCTTCTTTCACCATTGTTTTATTCACAGAGCATTAGTGTCACTCATGCAGGTCATAACACACTGTCATTTACACACACACGCAGGCACACGCACACATACACACACACACACACACAGTACTTCAGTGCAGTTGTAGCCGCAGCTTCATGTTATCTTTACTGTATTTATTTATCCTGCCTGTTACTCAGATTAGACCTTAATCTGATCTTTGTTTTAACACAGTCTGACTAGAAAGAAGGGACTTGGTAGGAACTCAAACAGGTATTTTTCTCTTGAGTTTTCAGATTATCATAAATCTTTTGATCAACCAGTGTTTGCTGATGTTACCATGGTAACTGCTTAACATTTCACCATAGGCAAACAGGCAGAACATTCCCAGTGTGATGTTACAGCAAAGTATCAATAAAATATCTAGTTTAGGGGCTCTCAAACTTTTCACACCATGTACCACCAAAGAAAGTCCAAGTCCCTCTGAGCCCCAAGTCCATCTGAGCCCCAAGTCCATCTGAGCCCCAAGTCCATCTCAGCCCCAAGTCCATCTGAGCCCCAAGTCCATCCCAGCCCCAAGTCCATCTGAGCCCCAAGTCCCTCTGAGCCCCAAGTCCATCCCAGCCCCAAGTCCATCTGAGCCCCAAGTCCATCTGAGCCCCAAGTCCATCCCAGCCCCAAGTCCATCTGAGCCTCAAGTCCATCTGAGCCTCAAGTCCATCTGAGCCTCAAGTCCATCTGAGCCTCAAGTCCATCTGAGCACCAGGTCCATCACGAGCTTCTGTGCCACCAGCAGAACATGAACCACAGTTTGAGTAGCAGAGCTTTAAGCCATGTTAGATTGGTGTTACCTCCTCAAAAACAGACCTGGAGTTGTTTTGTTTCATTCCTACATGTTTGAAGTAACCCTTTACTATTAGTGTCTACATCTCCAAAACTCAAAATGCTTTGTTCCACCTCGTGATGTCATGCAGTGGTAGTTTTAGAAGTTAACAGCTCATTTTACCTTTTGTTCAGTAAAGATGGGAAATTACAGAGCTGAGATTATCCAAATTATTCAAGTGAAGGTGTATGGAGTTTAAAAACACAGTGGAGCACTTCCTGTATGACCACGTGACATCACAAGGTGGGGTGTTTTCCATTTGAGAAAAGAAACCTAAAACTGCAGGGTTTGTGTTTGTGTGTTAAACATGTGAATGAAACAAAACGCAACTCCGGGACTATTTGTGATGAGGAAACATAATAACAACACTCAAGTACAAGTATAAATAGTGAGCCAAGAAATTACTCTAGAAAGTACCAATAAAAAAAATACTACTACTCAAGTAAAGGTAGGTTTGTTTGTTTTTTTCCCCTAGTGGAGAGGCGACCTCGCTCACAGTCAGAATGTCTGTTTTTCTAGATATTTTTGAGCTATAAACCCACCTGTAACTGAATAAATGTAAAGTAGAGCTGTTTAATGTCACACTGTGGGACTTTGCAGGCAGAGGAAAGACATCTCCATAGAAACAAGACAGTGACAGACCCCAACCTTAGTAAAAGTAGCTTAATTTAATTTAAGTGAAGTTACAGTTAATATTAAATAAGTCACAAAATCTGGTGTTTTAAGGAGAGACACAAAAATGAGACAAACTAAATCAGATCTGAAGGAGCCGAAACACAAACGTTCAAATCATTTCATATTGTCACATGAAGCTTTTGTCACTTGTAGATTTTCTCACAGTGAGAAGAGGAAACACAACTTTTACTCAAGTAAGAGTACTGTTATTTCAATAAAAAAAATATTACACAAGTAGGGCTAAAAAAGTGTCACTTAAAAAGTTACTCAAGTAAATCGCCAGCCTTGTCATTTTTTGGCCAAACTGAGTTGAGTTCATTCTTCTCTCCAGACCCCGCTGCATCTGTCTGTGTCATTGGCTCTGTCCTTGGCCAATCAGAAAGACTTTTACAGCCAAACAAACACAAACTGCCCAAATCATCTTGCACTATATTTTTATTTGAGTATTTTCTATGTTCGTGCCAAGAGGTTAATGATAACCGACTGAAGGTAACTGAGTCAATGTA